CTGTAATATTAATATCTACTTTTTGGTATTTGTATGCATTGAAATAATCTTATTGGACGGCTAGTTATTTATATGTTTTTGAATTGGGCTACGTTAATTTGTAAAAGTTATGAATGAAATGTCATTAGTTGTATTTACGTAGTGTTGATGTAAATATTAAAAAATTTAATTATGGTACGGAACCGAACGGAACCGACCCGAACCGAACTCGAACGGTTCCATAATTATATTTGGACCCGACGGGTCCATTTATTAAATACCCGAAAGTTTTGGGTCGGTTCGGGTCTCTTCAGAACCGAACCGAACCGACCCACGGACAGCCCTAGGCAGTGGTGACTCTGGATTGGGCTGGGGGTACTGCTCTAGGTGTTTACTGTTGTTAATGGTGGTGGTCGTGACGGCGACGACGACGGTGAAGTGGTGGTGAACCATTAAATAGTTAATATGTGAGTGGTTGGTGGTGGAGGTTGTTGTTCGTAGATTGGGTCTAGGAGTTGTGAACTTTTTTCAGATCGATGCCATGAGATAGTGCGCGCTATGGGTGCGGTGGTGGTGGCACTGTCGGTGTGCGGTGCAGTCGACGGTAGTGTACGTGGAGGATCTGATGATTTTGGTTTTCTGTGATTAAAAATATAATCCGTGACTTTAAAATTCTATAATCTGTGACTAAAAATATAATCTGTGACCAACCATTTTTCATCTGTGACCTAAAAATTATATGATCCGTGATCGTAAAAAAATTTGTGACCAATTAAGTTGGAAATCTGTAACTGTGTGACCTATAAATTTTGATATGTGACCAACTAATTTTGAAATCTGTGACTAATGAATTAATGTAACCTATAAAATTTTTGAACTATGACCATTAAATAATCTGTGACGTATAAAAATTAATATTTGTAACTAAAAAATAATATGTGACTAATTCAATTATAAATCTGTGACCGGAATGATTGTCGGAATAGTCGCCGGAATGGTTGTTGGAATAGTCGCCCGAATCGGAGCAGTCGCCGGAGAAGAGTGGTCGCCGGAATGGTCGTCGGAATAGTCCCCGGAGCGGTAGGGGTGGTGCATGTGGGGTGTGTTTATTATATTATATTATATTAAAATTAAAAAAAATAAAAACCTGATTTTTGAATTTTCAAACTATAAACATGATTTTTGAATTGGTGTAAACTAAACACATTATGTATGAATTTTTCCCTTTTTTTTTCC